AACAACAACGGGCCAAATTGACTGTCATTTTAGCGTTCCGACAGTGTTTTCACACCTGATAGAATCTTGTTGTCAAAATAATGAATGGCGGATCAGAAAGTAACGACTAATTGCGTTGGTAAAACGCAGTGGCTATAAAATTGGGCTGGCTGAATCCCCTGGTGATGTGAAGACCTGAAAGTTGCGTAGGAAGCCCCTCTGGTACGATGAGACGGTGGTTGCCCATTACTCGTTAATCATATCTATCTACGACTAAAATCTCATTCCGTGCTGTATTTCTTTGATTCCGTTGGACTAAATGAAGTTTGGGAAGACGTCGGCCAAAGTTCACGAAGGTTTGCCCCCTAAATGGGCCGCAGAACGACTCGACACACAAATATGCTCAAAAATATAGATAATTGGAGGAACGTCGACTTGTGCTTTTGGCATACTCACAACGAGAACTCGTCGGACGCAGGATGGAGGAAGATATCGTTTCTAACATAAAACAGACATATTACCTGAGATTGCACACAGTCGTTTACAAACCAAGGGTGGCGCTGGATCTGATGCACCGTGACGCGGCAATCAGGCAAGTAAGTCAGGATCGCTTGAATCAGCGCTGAAAACAAAGTCTGCAATACGAAACGGATGGATACACCATGCAATATATAGTCTAAGGCAACTTTCTTTTGTCACTCAACGCAATGACTCATTTGTTCTTAACGTATGGCATGAACATTAAATATGGTGTTCTCAGCGAAGGTCTTTCGATTGTGATGCTGAATTTACAGTTTAGGAGTCAACAGAAAACATGCGGTGTTTACATGGATTAATCGTAAACACTGCTGGAATTAATTTCAGTGCTCCTGTAGGAGTGTATGTCGAGTCTGTTGCAAAGAGAAATAATCGGCATTCACAAGATCTGTTCAGAGAAGTCCATGAATAATGTAATCCTGGAGTTATGCCTACTGCTTGCACAGCATGGACAGTTTTTAAAGAGTCCATACGCGTATTAAATGGTGATCGAAACTCCGTTAGCAGATGGTGCAGAAAATGCCGCTGTTCGATCACTCCATATGTTTATCACTTTACAGCGATCGGACCAAATGTACAATATTTATCACTGTTGAAGAACCACGACACCTTCATGCTCTTTAAGGTTCAAAAGACTTACAATCAACGGACTAACGAAAAATGAATGAAAATGGCTGGAAGCAGAAGTGTATGGCAAAGTCTTGGCAATGCCTTCATTCAGTAGTTGATCTACAAAGGCAGATGACAATGATATTACTAATAAATTCGTTAAATTCTCCTATTAAAGAACTACTATTACTGTGGTTACTTCACCACAAGAAATACCATTGCTGACAATATTAGAATTAGTAATAATATGAATATTACCAGCAAAATTAATATCCATACTACTAATAGTAGCACCCGTACTAGCTGTAATATTTTTGATAGTGTCGGTATCAGTGTCACCAGGAATGAAGCTGCTATTAATAACACTACCGTTGCAACTACTAATACCATTATTAACAATGGCATTATTAGCAATATTAGCTTCGATATTTATACTGCCAGTAATAGTACTACTACTGCTTCACTAGTATCGATAGAAATGAAACTACTAATGACAATATTAAACGACGAATAAAACTTGCAAGACAAGATTTCACGGTTTCACGACGAATTGCACTTCCGTCTTTCTTCAGGTTGCCAAAAGGGCATTTAAGCAGGCAACAGCTCGGCGGAATTTGAGCATATACAGTGTCAGATGCATCCAGCATTATTTTGTTTGCTACAGCTACCTGTTGTTCATCACGAATGATATCTTAGGAGCTGTTACTCTCTACGCAGAACAAGGGGATGGCGTGATACGCGTGAAGTGTCGTTTTGGACAAGTCATTCGCTACTGAAAATACTCGGGCGAACAAACAGCTTTTGATGTCTATGCGGTAGTATATATTAAGTACATGCAGTTGAAACATCGTTCGTGGCAAGCACGAGTTGGTCTAGTGGACAAAATGATGCAATATACATTTGGCCCCGCAAATACTCAACTGTCATGGATCCGTGACCCGCTTGAACGGCCTCCTCAGCATGCAACTAGTAACTAGGGACGGTGAAATACGTCGTGAAATCTGGTCTTGGAGGAGTTATTCGCAATTTGACATGCTGAGGCATACGGACAGTTTATGAGGTTCAACATTAATATTGCTTCAAATTCTGCATACTTAAAACACAGCATAAAACAGTTTAATAATTGACCTCGCAAAAGATAATATGGTCATTCCGGTGACTTACTAATACTGACGTTTCGGCTCATATCTCACGGACGTCCTTCAGGGTAGGGGATAGTCAGTCGGTATTGATCCATCACCGTATTGACCATATTATCTTTAGCGTTGTGTGTTACTAAACATAAGCTGTGTGCTTTATGTTGTTTTTCAGTATGACCACTAAACGAAATATTCTATGCTACCTTTATTCATTGATAATATTCCTACTAGATAGATGCATATGCTAGACGATGGATGGTCAAGTCAGAGCTTGTTGATCAGAACTGCTATTGACATAGCATCGGACCACTGACCTTTACCTTCAAAAGTAAAGAAATATCGGTGAATTTCATTGCCTGATTGATGAAGGCTGTGAACTTCGACTTAAGAGGTAAACATATGAAGCAAATGATTTGATTCGTTATTTCTACCAGCAGTATTGATGCATGGCAGTGCTATTACAAGGAGTATTATTCTTACTACGAAGAGTACTAAAAAATGTAGGGTAGCAATAATACTAAGAATGCTTGTACCAATAATAGTAGTGCTAATAATGTGCTCCTTACAAACTCTCATCCCGTTTTTTGCTTCCTAAAAACGATTCTTCCATCCTTGTCGCAGGGAGCGGACAACGACCAAAATAAAGGATTTCTCGTTAGGATGAAGTACGATGAAACTTGTTCTCATTTTGCAGCTACGGTAGTCATGAGGGACTGCCGTGAAGCAGGAAACAATCGGCCAACAAGAAACTAGTGCATTATCATAAAATCCTGACTTCTGTTCATGACCATCCAGCAGTTTGGAAGCTGCTCCAACTGTTCAGCTGCTCGGCAGACGAGCTCACCCCCTGGAAGCCAGTGGCGGCACCTGATTCACAAGCAGGTTCCTGCTCGCACTGAGTTGTGTGGCTGTTCTACCATGCTCAACATCTCCCTTGTTCCAAGGAGACAAAGTGTGGCAGGACAACCAACCTTGAGATATATGAACTCACAGACGGAAGAGAGGTTTAGCCCCTGGCTCATTCAAGCGGGGGACAAAAAACCATTATTCTGATTAGCACAACGATGAACAGTATTCATACAACTGCTCCTAGAGTAGTATTCATAATTGAACTAATATAGCCAATATGTACTGTCTTTAATCATACAATTAATGCCACTAGTAGCATAAATCGTACTGCTATTTGTTGAAGATTGAACATTGTTCTTTCATGAGGGAGATTTATTCTATGGTTTTTCTGTCTCTAACGGATTTCTCCGCATTTACGTAGTATTGTAAAAATTATCGACGTTTCGAGCTATATTCGACTCGTTGTCAGGCACTTGCCAATAACGCTGAAATATTGTTGTTGTATTGCCGCCTCGTCGGATATCCATCTTGTTACAGT